ACAAAATTATTATTTTTACATCAGAAGGGGGAAAGGGCACAATGCTGCCCTTTGAAAATAATACCTTCATCACAGTGAACTTGAACACAGGGAATCTGGGGACAGGGGCATAGCCTACATAGATACCATAAAATTCAATAGAAGGATTGAGAAGAGACCACCTAGAGCTGGGGTAGCCAACCTGGTACTGCCCAGATACCCAGTAGCCAAGGATTATGGGAGTTACACTCCAAGAACATCTGGAGGACACCACATTGACTAACTTTGACTTAGAACAGAAATGGCGGACCTTTGGCTTTTCCCATGTTTCTGAACTACTATCATCCCTGGTCATTGGCCACATTGGTCTCCATCCCCATTGTTCATCCTGGACACTGAAGTCCAGCTTTGAGGGCCTTCTGGGGGTTCCCTCACTGTGAGAAGTGAGGTTAAAGGAAACTAGGCAGAGGGCCTTCTCGGTACTGGCGCCTGCCCTGTGGAACGCCCTCCCACTAGTTGTCAAGGAAATAAACAACTATCTGAATTTTAGAAGACTTCTGAAGGCATCTGTTTAGAGAAGTTTTCAATGTTTGATGTTTGATGTTTTTAATATTCTGTTGGGAGCCACCCAGAGTAGCTGGGGAAACCCAGCCAGATGGGCGGGGTATAAATAATAAAATTATTATTATTATTATTATTTTATTTTATTTGCTGCTGGGGTGGTGGGAGTTGCGGTTCAGCAGTACCTGGAAGATGAAAGGTTCTGCACTCCTGACCTAGAGCATAATAAGTGCCCTGAGGCCTGTATAGTCTGGCATTCTGTATCCTATGGGAGCCACTCTAGATGCCTATGAGATGCCTACAATCAGGATGCACCCATTTGTTCTTCAGTAAAATACAGAAGTGTCTTATTGGCTATTTGCATTCTTGATGAGCACCAAAGGCTATTTTAAACAGGCATGTTACTTGCACATGTAAATGAGCCATCGGAGATTAATCACCACAGATGGAAGTTTTATATCACCCGGTGTCAGATCTGGAGGGGGAAAAGTTAAGAAGTTCTGTGAGAATGATGTCGAAAAATAAGAGCCTCTTTTGGCAAGAAATCCTCTCCTGAATTGAAAAATTGGAGGACAAGTTTCAGTATAACACTAGAATCACTGCAGAGACAGCCATGGGAAATGGTGGCAATTTCTCCCCATAAAATAATTCCCATTGGGGGCTTTGCATATAATCTTTCTGTAGCATTGTTTACACCAGAGTCATTTTTAAAAATATTTTCCCATGTTCTCCTAGAGATAGGCAGCTGTTCATTTCTCTCTCTCTCTCCTCTCTCTCTCTCTCTCGCTGTGTACACATCCCCATTTATTCTGTGTCCAGTGCACTTCCACTACCAGCTTGGGAAGTGGTGTACGCCTGACCTCAGTCACAATCCAAATCTATCCTGTATCTATCCTGTTGTAAACTCATCAAAAATGCCAAGGTTTGATGTATTTTTCTCCAAACCAACTTCTTTCCGAACTGAGAAAAAGATTAACCTAGCTGGTAATGTGTACACAGCTCCCCCACCTCAAAAAAAAGTCTCTAGTGAATCTCACTAATTTGTAAAGCATGAATCAAACCTACCAAGGGAGCTACAAAGTATGTCCATGGAGGCTTGAAGACTTAATAAGCATTTGTATTGCATTCAAATTGTTCCACGTATATTGTCTTGGTAATCCTTACAACAAACCCAGAAGGGAAGTCGATATTGTTATCCTCTTACTGCAGATGGGGAGCCAAGACGGGGAGGGGGGGCTGCCTATCAAAATGGCGGCTGCTTTTTGGTGATGTGATATTCTTGGAAGTGGAGACTTCCCAGCTTGCAGTCTTCAGCATTACGCTGTGACTGCCCTCTAACATCGAGAACATCCTTCCATAATTTGGCCAAGGACAGTCATGTCACCACAGGTGACATTTTAGAGGTGGGGACAAATAGGACCACTCTGTTTTCCCGAAGTAACTGCATGCCTGTCTTTGAAAGGGCATAGGCTTTTTCTGGCAAAAAGACTAATATTGTCACTCGAGGGACATGAGTGCTGCCACTTGTCTTGGTCTGCAAGTGTATTGAAAGAGTAGAGCCCTGCTCAAAATACACCACATTTTGTATCCAAGTAACCACCAAGAAACAGTCCAGTGAAGTAGACCAGTGATGTGATCCACGTACCACATCAATATTGCCTAAATAACGCATCTGTTAAGGGCATGGATTTGGAAACACTGGGAAGCAGTCAGATTGACCTTACTTTTGCATGTTTCCGAAAGCCCAGTGTAAGGGTGAGAGACTGACCTCCTCCTTCACCCCCAAGGTATGCCAGAGAACTTGGTAGGAAGGCAGAGTCTTGAGTCAAGACTCTTGACTCTCCCAACTAACACAAAGTGGCTCAGAGATCTCTGCAGCGGGTGAAAGACTTGAGGAGGAGGAGGAGGAGGAGGAGGAGGAGGAGGAGGAGGAGGAAGAAGAAGAAGAAGAAGAAGAAGAAGAAGAAGAAGAAGAAGAAGAAGAAGAGGAGTTTGGATTTGATATCCCGCCTTTCACTCCCTTTAAGGAGTCTCAAAGCAGCTAACATTCTTCTTTCCCTTCCTCCCCCACAACAAACACTCTGTGAGGTGAGTGGGGCTGAGAGACTTCAGAGAAGTGTGACTGGCCCAAGGTCACCCAGCAGCTGCATGTGGAGGAGCGGGGACGCGAACCCGGTTCACCAGATTACGAGACTACCGCTCTTAACCACTACACCACACTGGCTCTCCAGTGTGGAACAGGAGGAACAGGAGACGTGCAGGTGGTTGTAAGAAGAAAATTCACTGTTGCTCCTGGACACTGTGATTTCATTTCTGGGCAAACCCAGCAGCAGATTAGGACAACCTTGGGCAAGATGGTGGAGCTCCCATGTGACTGCTAGTGCCTCACTGGTGGGTGATCCAACCCCCACAGCTCAGGGGAACTCACCTGATGATGGGGCAAGCAGTAGCAGCAGCAAACAGGAACAAATTATAGGGCAGTTTCTGTGTAGTTGTCCAGCCCAGGGGAAAAATTGTGCCCTATGCAATTTTTTTTAAAAAAATGTATTGCAGTTTCCTGCAATGGAATAAGATAGAATAAGATTCCCTGGTCCAAATCTCTTGCTTTGAAAAGGACATTGGGAAGCAACTATGAAGGTGAAAATAAAGTTATAAAAATGTCTTATTTTGAATGCATGGTGTTTAAACATAGTTGTCAACTTTTCCTTTTTCTTGCAAGGAATCCTATTCGGAATAAGGGAATTCCCCTTAAAAAAAGGGAAACGTTGACAGCTATGTGTTTACAATGTGTTTTGCTTTGCTTTTTAAGTAGGAAAATAGCATAAGGTTGGAAATGTCCTAGCAAAACAACCTATGAAGGTTTCATTGAAAGGTCACAGAGGATAAGGAAGGTCATTCAGAACACATTACTAAGCTGAAGTCTCCACACACAGATAGGAAGGTGCAGACCTGAACTGGGAAAGAAATAAGAACCTTCTCGAAAGAAAAACACCATGGTGGATTTCACCAGTAGAGGTCTTAACAATAAAAAAAACCAACATGGAAGGGAAGACAGCCACCTACGAAGATTTGCTAAGAAAATCAGAACAAGGGCTTAAACTTAAACCGTATGAGGAAATAAAGGATCAATTCACCGGCTGGTTACAATATCATCAGGTGAATGATATGTTAAAACAAGATAAAGAAAAATGGGCTTTGAGGACAAGAAATCAAAATTCAATATAGAAATAATAGAAGGCAAAAACAAAACATTGTCTAAATTATATGACATATTACTGGAATGGCATACAAAAGACGAGGAAGTCAAAGAGGCAATGATTAAATGGGCAATTGACTTCGGTTATAACATCGAGTTTGAAAAGTGGTTGAAATTGTGGAATAGAGACATTAAATTTACGGCCTGTACGAGTTTGAGAGAAAATGTTTGGAAAATGCTCTATAGATGGTATCTTACGCCGGCAAAATTGGCTAAAATCTATAGATCAGAAAATAAGACATGCTGGAAATGTGGTGAAGGGGAGGGAGACCTCTACCATATGTGGTGGCAATGCAGCAAGGTGAAGGTTTTTGGGAAGCAATTTATAATGAACTTAAAAAGTTTTTAAATACACTTTTCCCAAGAGACCTGAGGCCTTTTTGCTGGGAATAATGGGTAAGGAAATAAAAAATGAAGATAAAAAAATATTTCTCTATGCCACCACAGCCGCAAGAATTATGCTGGCACAAAACTGGAAAATAGAAACTATTCCTAACATAAGTGACTGGCAGGTCAAAATGATCAACTATGCCGAGCTAGATAGATTAACAGGCAGAATACGAGACCAAGACGACCAGAAATTTCAAAAAAATTGGAGTAAGTTTTGGAAATATATTAGAACGGATATATAGGAGGAACTGGCGGTATTAGAAAAACTTTATCAGCTAATAACTATAAACTTTAATAAACTAATTACGCAACCCGGGACTTATTTGATACTTACCAAAAGGGTGAAGGGAAGTCAAAGGCTAAGGAGAGCCTAATGGTTATATTCTTATTTTTGTATGAACATATGCTTTCTTTTTGTATAGTATGAAAATAGGATGAATAATTTATGTTAAAATGTTTATTTTTGTATTTGTTAGTTCTTTTTTCTTTTCTTTATACAAATTCTGAATAAAAATTTACTTGCAAAAAAAAAAAAAAAAAAAAAAAAAAGGAAGGTGCAGACCTGAAGATAGTGTAATCAGTTGCCTTTGGGGCAGCTTTTTCCATTAAGGGCAGTTTTCAAAAGGGGGAGAGGATTCTAAAGGGCCTGATTCTTTCAAAAGGTGGAAACACTGAAACCAGGAGTGTTTTATTTCCAGCCCTTACCTAAGTTCAGAGATCACATTTGGGTAATAGTCTCTTAAATGATTCAGTACTTCAGCATGTTTTTTCCCCAGACATTTGCCTGGAAACAAGCAACCACACACAGTTTGCAACTGGTATAAACCACAGCTCATTGGTAGAACACGTGCCTTGCATGCAGAAGGTTCCAGGTTCAATCCCTGGCATTTCCAGTTAAAAGGTTCGGGTAACAAGTGACAAGAAAGGACCTCTCTCTGCCCCCGCAGATCCACTTCCAGAGTAGATCATGCTGGTCTAGATGGACAAAGAGCCCATTCTGGCCATTTCCTACACTCTTAGCTTTTCCTTGTTGGCTTTAAAATGTCAACCATTTTCTGTTTCTTTGTTTTCTTTTTTTAATTAATATTTATTAAAGTTTCAGAAAGAATAAAATCAGATTAATAAACACAAAAATTTTAACAAAAACAGAGAAAAATACCCCATACAAAATACAAAGTACAGAATAGAAAAAAGGAAGGAAAAAAAAAGGGAAAAAAGAAAAAACAGTTAAAAATACTTCCATCCTTTCATAACCTCTTTTAAATTTACTTGTTTCCTGGACTTCCTCATACCTCCCTCTTTTGTATTCCAATTCAGTTTGTAAACCCAGCAATTTCTTACCCTCCTTTTTAATTCCAATTCTAAATCTTGATATATTATGCCATTAGATTTTTACCTATTTGAACCTATTTTTCCATTTCTCTTAGTCTTTTTGGTCCTAATCCTTAATCTTGATACATTTATAACTTTAAAATCTGTTCAGCTAGAAGCCACTTAACTTCAATCCAACATCACTCTAACATTCATTGATTTTGCAGTATTTCTGTAAATAGTCTTTAAATTTCTTCCAATCTGCTTCCACCGACTCTTCTCTCTGGTCACGGATTCTGCCAGTCATTTCCGCCAATTCCATATAGTCCATCATTTTCATCTGCCATTCCATTCTGTTTCAACATTTTTGAACTTAACTATTTTGGGGAGAGGCTGCCAGGCAAAATAAAATGTCGCTGTGTTCTATGTGATGCTCTAGTGATCAAGAAATAGATCCCAATCTGGTCTATGGAGACAGGGGCTGACTTGACTCTTGGAAGCTGAGGTCACCAGGGAAAAGAGGCTAGGTTAGCTCCCATTGTAGTGATGTCTCTGAGTGAACTCCCTCCTTACTTCCTTGTGAGTGAATTAATACTTTCCAAAAGGTTAGCACTGCTTTTGGAGACGCAGTTGTGCTGGGGACAATAATAATAATAATTTATTATTTATTCCCCGCCCATCTGGCTGAGTTTCCCCAGCCACTCTGGGCGGCTCCCAATCGAGTGTTACAAACAATACAGCATTAAATATTAAAAACTTCCCTGAACAGGGCTGCCTTCAGATGCCTTTTAAAGATAGGATAGCTGCTTATTTCCTTCACATCTGAAGGGAGGTTGTTCCACAGGGTGGGCGCCACTACCGAGAAGGCCCTCTGTCTGGTTCCCTGTAATCTCACTTCTCTCAATGAGGGAACCGCCAGAAGGCCCTCGGCGCTGGATCTCAGTGTCCAGGCTGAACGATGGGGGTGGAGACGCTCCTTCAGGTATACATGATCATGGCTGTTTAGGGCTTTCAAGGTCAGCACCAACACTTTGAATTGTGCTCAGAATTTGAATTGTGCGCACCTGATCCTTCAGGGGCACAGTTACCCCATTCAGGACCAGGGAATCCCCCACACCCGCCCGCCCCCTGTCCCCCCAAAACAGTACTTCTGTCTTGTCAGGATTCAACCTCAATCTGTTAGCCGCCATCCATCCTCCAACCTCCTCCAGGCACTCACACAGGACCTTCACCACCTTCACTGGTTCTGATTTAAAAGAGAGGTAGAGCTGGGTGTCATCTGCATACTGATGAACACCCAGCCCAAACCCCCTGATGATCTCTCCCAGGGGCTTCATATAGATCTTGCCTTCTATCATTGTCCATAGCATCACTGGGGGGAGATCAGGCAGCAAGAGTGGGGCTTAATGTTGGGGGGCGGTGGGATTGAGTGAGCAAGCACAGGGGTGCGGTCTCACTCCCAACTGGTATTCTTCCCATTTGCAAACTATCTCTTTGTACATTTTGATCCTATGAGCTGCCAGAATGCCGCAACATCTTCCACCCGCAACCTTGTTGTACCGAGACAGCAATCTATGCTGACGGTGTTATCCTGACCATAGGCAACTTCATTAACTATGTGTCAGTGTGCTTGAAAGACTCAGGATTCCTTACTGAAACAGCCACATCATGCAGGGGCAGACTTTGATCATCTTTGGTAATATGGCACCCTGAACGAGACCAAAATTTGGTGCCCCCAAAGAGATCTTCTCAATTTCGGTCCTTCTCAGTTTTGCACCCCCTCAGCTTGGCGCCCTGTGCAGGGAAACCAACTGCATCGCTCTAAACTTGGCACCGCCTAATGTCTTTTAAGTGGCCAGTTCAGCTCTGTAACAGGTCGCATGACCTACTGGCCGCAGTAGCTTTCTAGCTGACAGGAAGCAAAAGTGCAGAGCAGTCCCTTCCAGATTTCCTGTCTGTGTGTCAGCCATTCTCACCCGGCCAGCAGACCCCTATTTCATTTGAGTTCCTGGCTGGCGCAGACAGCAATTATGATAACCATCGGCAGTCAGTTGCAGAGCAAGAAGGAGAAAGGGGATGGGGGGGCCAACCAAGACAGGGATACGTAGATAAGATAAGAAATAAAGAGACAAGCGAAGAATAGGGGTTAAAGGTGTGATTACTTCGAGAATTATTCATTGCAAATGTATCTGCACATTTTTACTCTCTATTTTCCCCCCAAAGGTGTGGGGGGGGGGCTTGGTTTGTAACCATTGTAAAGATTGTACTTTATATGCTGTTCCGTGACACACTGTCTTTAAGATGCACCCAGAGTTGAGCTGGCTAATTAGCAGACACCCACAAGATCTCTTTGGGAGATCGTATCTAATTAACTTTCCAAGTCATCTGTCACTTTTTGATGATGCTTTCAAAGTATGTTTTCCCTGAATGAAGACGTGTGCTTAGGAATACCTCTGTCTAGACATATTTCCTTGCATATTCCTGCCTGAATTAAATTTTTAAGTACTGGCCTGTGGCAATCAAAGAATGTATGCTCTGTACTTTCAAAGTAATCACCTTTCCCTGTTTTCCTTTCTCTCTTTTTTATATCTAGTTGCTATTACTGCAATACTAAAAATCCACGACCCCCTTCTAAATAATCTCTGCAGTTTTAAATGTAAATGCAGCACACAATCTTGTGAATGCTTATGGTGAGTTAAGCCCTACTGACTTAGTAAAGGTAAAGGGACCCCTGACCTTTAGGTCCAGTCGTGGCCGACTCTGGGGTTGCGGCGCTCATCTCGCTTTATTGGCCGAGGGAGCCGGCGTACAGCTTCCGGGTCATGTGGCCAGCATGACTAAGCCGCTTCTGGCGAACCAGAACAGCGCACAGAAACACCGTTTACCTTCCCGCCAGAGCGGTACCTATTTATCTACTTGCACTTTGACGTGCTTTCGAACTGCTAGCTTGACAGGAGCAGGGACCGAGCAACGGGAGCTCACCCCGTCGCGGGGATTCAAACCGCCAACCTTCTGATCGACAAGCCCTAGGCTCTGTGGTTTAACCCACAGCGCCACCCGCTTACTCTGCAGTAAATGTGCACAGGTTTGCACGCAGAATTGGGAAATGAGGTACATGGGACTTACCACTAACTAAATCTGATTAGGATTGCCTGTTTTGGCTGACAGTAGTCTCTTCAGCAGTTTATCAGCTGATGATTTTAACCTGCTGAAAATCACTGCGCTTTCTCATGTGGAAAACCTTAGGCTATGCTGTGGAAATATGTGTTCAGCTGAAATGAAAAGTTATTAAATCAGAAGTGAAGAGAGTGGGGGTGGATTCAAAGGAATGATCTGTTTGTTATTCTGGAGAAAACAATTTAAAGCACTCTTTAAAGCTTAGCAAAATTACTTGAAATCTTTCTGAGGAACAAGCAACCCTTTTCATCTGGCCTCCAAGGATTGAGTTTATCTTTTGGATCTAGTTGCTGCAAAACACTGATAATGCGCAAAATCCATGAGGCGTTAAATATCTGTCTACCAGTGGCTTGCAGAATTAATCAAATTACCTTTTAAAGTTAATGCAGTCGGTGAGAAGAGCTTAATGATATTCAAACCCTTCATGGTAATAATTACAGATGGAGAGGGTCAGTCAGTTGAGAATTAATGCAAAAAGTGCTCAGAATGATAATCTGAATTAATGTATTAGAGTGTTTATAACGTGTTAGGAAAGTTAGCAATGAAAATAAGAAATCGTTTGCTTTCTTTTGACAATGGCAACAAACCTAAGTTTGGATTTGAACGATTTAAGGGTTGCTGCTTATAAGCAGCAGAAAATGAAGCACAAGGAGGGAGAAAGCGGGCTAAGGAGGTTAGGCTCATATTTTGAGGGAAGAGGCTGGCTTACACAAGCAGCAGATCACATGGTGAAATGTTTTCTGTACATATTCAGACTCTTGGGACTCACATCTTTGAATGAACGGCCACACACTGCTCAGTAAGTTTAAAAGCTTTACTTACTAAACCCAAAGGTCTGATTCATGCATCGTTCTATGCAGCAGCAAGGAGAACATAGGTGGATTCCTCTTGGGAGCAAAATATGCAATATAGTTTCAGACAAGTGGTCTGAACTTTGAGCAAGTTCAGATATGTCTGTCCTGGTGGATTACTTGGCAAGAATAGAATATGAAAAGGACATGAAGCAGATTCACTTCCTCCCTCACTGGAGTAAGGGGTGTGTGACCTAGCTGAGTCTAGGAAGAGAGTTCTGTGGTCTTAACACTTTAATGCACTAACTAGCACTCATTCTTAGTTATGTATGACTGCAATTTCTGACACATTCACATATTTGAATTCTCCTCTGCCTCCTGGCAATCGGATGTACAATCCACAGAAAAAAATTGCCCAGACCTGAACTGGACCTACTTGCTTTGTTTCATGTTTGTTGTAACACTTCTGTTTTCTATGGTTTTTCTGCTCTCGTTGCAACCACAGTCACGTTCTTCAAGTGTTGCAATTCTCAGCACCATTTCTCTCCCCCTTTACTGCCCTCAGCCTCATTCAGCTGCATTGCTATTGGTCACAGTTAACCCGTGTGATACTGTCA